TACACATTTATTAAAGAAATTGTGTCAATAATAAATAGATATTTCACTTGTTTTCACGTTTCTGAACTAAAGCGCGTCATAATACTAAAGCACGCTTCTACACTCCAATTAAGTGGGTCATGATAATAAATTAATAAATAAAATTGCAAGAATGTAGTTGATTTGTTTTAAATGTGGGATCCATTTTAGATTTTTTGATGAGTTACATGGATATTTGAGAATTGTAGATGGGTTGTTTAAAAAATTGAGAAGTGTAAAATAATATAAAAAATTATGTGGGTCTCATTTAAAGAACTCAAATGAGTATGATGGATGTGGATGCTCTTATATACTGGTACCAAAAAAATGGAAATTATATTGAAATAAAAAAAATCAAATGTTAAATTCAAATCAAAAACACCGAAATATACTTTACTATAACCAAAAAAGTAGATCTATCATACTTATGAGTTACAATTCGGTTAAAATCTGAAGCACACTATTGACTCAGATGAATCTCAATTTTCGAAACTCTAGTATCAAAATCTTCAAAATCACGTGATAAGTCACAACATGAAAAATATTAATTTATATAATTGGAAGATAATCTTAAAATCAAATTGAATCAGATATGAGTAGCTCTCACCACTTGTTAAGAGTTGTTCATAAACCTTATATTTTCTATCAATATAGAAATCAAGATCACAATTCTAAATAAAAACCCTTAAGCACATATCCAAATGCAATTATAATAATGAAAGCAAAATCGTACTTCAATTTGTCATTGAGAATAACCGAAGGTTTGCGATCTTTCAATTTGTAGAGTTTCTTATGGCTCCTTGATTCTTCTCTGATAGAGATAAAGAGATAATTTATGATAAGCCATTTTGCACTGTCTACAAATGGGGACCATAATCCCTATAAATAACTTTAGACTATGTTTGGGAGTTTGGAGGGGAAGAAATGGAAGGACTTTGAAAAATATGAAGGATTTGAGTGAAAAGAGTAGAAAGATTTTACTTAGGAGAGTTTTGGAGGATTTGTTTTTCTTCATAACACCAAAATTCCCCTAATTTGAAGAACTCAAAATTTATATTAGAGGTTAGTTTTAGAGGATTTTGGGGAGCTTCATCAATTTGTTCAAATATAACTTTTGTTGCTATAGTATTTCAAAAACTAAAAATACATTAATAATAAATATTATTTTATCATTTTAAACAAAATTTTTTTTAAATGTTAAAAAATTCTTTATATTTAAAAAAAAAAAATTGGAAGTCCTCCCTTCCCCTTCCTCCCAATCTCCAAAACATACTCTTAGGTTATTTCTTAGTTTTCAATATTTTAATTTGACCCTTCATCAAATTAGATATTGACATATAATATCTACACAATTATCTTTCATGATATTTATATTTTTTAATCAAAAATTTATTATTAATTAAACCACTTCAACTTTAACTAATTACATAATAACCATAATATATATAACATTATAATTTTGACCCAAATATTTTACCATCCTAACCATTAGTCAATAAGTAAAATAAAAAAAGTAAAATTAAATTTTGAAATATTTAGAGATAACAACCCAATTAAAAACATGAGATGAGAGTATACATTAATGAACATGTGGGAAAGTATTTTCTATAAATAAAATAAAAAAAAGACTGATTCATTGCTCACCAAACTTTCTATTAAAAGTAGAACACAACAACCTTTTATTTGGACTATCGTACAACTTTGAATAGAATCACAAAAACAAAACATCTATGTAACTTCACCTGAATCTCAAATCCTCATTGGTTTTTGCTGCAAAGGAAGAAGCTTGGTCGGTGCTACAGTTCAAATCATATATAGTTTTCAGTTTTTGTATAAGGTTAGAATCTCTGAAACCACTGAACTGGTCTTGTTTTCTTGAACATGTTGTAACTTAAAAAAAAGAAGCTATTTTTTAAGGAAATTATTGAGTATGTGAAAATGGGTTGTTAATGAAAGTTGAAAATTTTAAGTGATTTTCATGTTTTAGTTTCTTCTTGTTGAGTTTAATGAGAGCTTTTTTTTTTAATTGAATTTGTTTTAAATTTTCGAAGGGGAAGAAACATAGTGGATCATTTTAGGAATTATTGAGAGTTTTTAATTTCTGCACAACTCTTTCTTTTTTACTTTTTCATGAAGAAGAATTAGAGAGAAAAAAGAAAAAGAAAAAGTTTTTCAAAATTAGTTAATTTGGTTAGATTTTTCTGAGCCAATTTCAATTTTTTATTAGATCAAAAAATCAAATTTAATCATAAAGTTTTTGTTATGTTCATAGGGTAAGAACTATCATATTCTGCACATGTAGATTATGAAAATGTAACATTATAACCAGGTTTTAGTCCTTAATCATGAAAAAGGCCGTGACAAAACAGTATTGGAATGTGTCAACAGTCAACACTGATACCGTTATTCATTGTTTTTATGATGAAAATGAAAATTTGATTAATTCACACCATGATGACTACAATAAGTATCGCAACATTCGTACTGATTGAAATCGCGAAAGCCTTTACGCCAACCGTGACTGTTATTTAAAACCTTGACTGTAACTTAAAATTTGGTGTCTGCTAGTTGGATTAACCTATGATAAATCTGGAAATTATAGATTGTGCTGTGTGGATGTTTGCTTTTCTTGTTTCAAAATGGCTTCTTACACTCTAATGATAATTTTCTTGGCTGTTCACATCTTTTACCAATTTTAGTCAACATCTTCACACTTCAAGCCTATGTAGCACTGACACAAAACCGACACCGACTCATGTGGTTATATTCAATTGTTTCATTTTCTCAAGCTACCACTAATCGCAACATGTTAGTGTAATTGTCGTGTTCGGTATCCGTGTTTGTATGAGTGTTTCATAGCTACATGTTTCTTATTAGGACTTAGACAGAATTTTTGTTACGCATTTATAGCTATGGCGAATTGGCAAATTAGCGAATTACTTATCTATCTTTGCTGTACTAATTTCTGTTCTACCCCTTCTGCAGAATGTTTCAGAAATCGGATTAAAATGATCACGAAGTTTAAAAAGGAGAAGCTACCGACATTTATTATTGGAACAAATAGATCAATCAGAAAAGTTTGAAGGTTTTGTGACTGAAAAAACATTGTATTCAAAGAAGCAAATACTTTTCGACGCAAACATCTCTTAAACACAAAATGTCATATGAATCCGACATGTTCAGCGTTGAACCGATTCAAAATCTAGACTCATATTGCTTTCTACCAAATGAGAATCTCGAAAACTACTGGTCCTCCGATAACTATAGCCATTCAACCTACCCTTCATTTCAAGCTGTAGAACAATATTCCTCCCTTGGATCTTCTAACAACAGTCCAGTCTCAAAACTACAGTCAAAATCTTCCGCGTTCACGTCGCAAGATTCTCTTGAAATTATCAACAATTCGTTAGAGAACGAGTTGTGTTTGACACATAACCAAGATGACTTGTGGCACAAGATAAGAGAGCTCGAAAATGCTATGCTGGGAAACGATGCAGCCGATATATATAACCACACTGATATGATTCGAGAAGAATCGGATCCACTTATGTTAGAGGCAGAAAAGTGGAACAAAATGATGCAGATGATATCGAGAGGCGATTTGAAAGAAGCGCTTTTTACTTGTGCAAAAGCAGTATCGGAAAACGATATAGAAACAACTGAATGGTTAATGACAGAGTTGTCGAAAATGGTTTCGGTTTCGGGAAGTCCAATCCAAAGGTTAGGAGCATACATGTTGGAAGCTCTTGTTGCAAGAATCGCTTCTTCAGGAAGCATAATCTACAAATCCTTGAAATGTAAAGAACCTACCATTGCTACTAGTAATGAACTCCTCTCACACATGCATGTCCTTTATGAAATCTGTCCTTACCTCAAATTCGGATACATGTCGGCAAACGGAGTCATTGCCGAAGTGTTGAAGGATGAAAGTGAAGTTCATATAATTGATTTTCAGATTAACCAGGGAGTTCAGTGGATAAGTCTAATCCAAGCTCTTGCTGGAAAACCGGGAGGACCGCCGAAGATCAGAATAACCGGCTTCGATGATTCGACTTCAGCTTATGCAAGAGGAGGAGGACTTGATATCGTTGGACAAAGGTTGTCGAAACTCGCACAATCATATAATGTAGCATTTGAGTTCCATGCTATAAAGGTTAATCCTACTGAGGTGAAACTCGAAGACCTTGAACTCCGTCGCAGTGAAGCTATTGCGGTGAATTTTGCCATGACGCTACACCATGTACCGGACGAAAATGTACACGGAGGTCAGAATCATCGCAGCCGGTTGGTGAGATTGGTGAAGTGCTTGTCCCCTAAGGTAGTGACTCTTGTTGAACAAGAATCAAACACCAACGAGCTCCCATTCTTCGCACGTTTCGTCGAGACAATGAACTACTACTTAGCAGTTTTTGAGTCAATCGACGTTGCTTTGCCGAGGGAGCACAGAGAACGGATTAATGTGGAGCAACATTGTTTAGCTCGCGAAGTTGTCAATTTAATCGCGTGCGAAGGTGCGGAAAGGGTCGAACGTCACGATCCTTTGAAGAAGTGGAAATCGTGTTTCACAATGGCTGGATTCACACCATATCCATTGAGTCCCTACATTAATGGTTCCATAAAGAATCTTCTTGAAAGTTATCAAGGACATTACACTCTAGAAGAGAATGATGGTGCTCTCTATCTAGGTTGGATGAATCAGGCTCTTATTACCTCTAGTGCTTGGAGGTGAAAACTAGTTCATTTTGTTACATCAAACTCTATATATGTATTATCCTTAACTTCTTTCCTAGAATAACTTATTTTAGTTTTATGCTTCCTTAACTTGATTGAATAATTTCATAGTTTGTTTAAAAAAGCATGCTAGATTTTGGCCTGACTTATCATTTCCGGGACATCTAGAGCACATTTAGAATGAATATGAATAAATTTCACCAAAGATTAAAAAACTAAATAGTAATAACAAAATTTACCTACAAAACATGTCAACTAAAAATTATGACAAAACAAGGAAGAATAGAACATGGATTTTTCACTACAAATCTTTGTAAGCTAAATTGCATTTCATTCTCAAACCCTTGTTCATATTCACCATCAACTTCATTCACTGAACTTCCAGCAATTACTCTACAAACTATTGAAACTCTTTTCACATTCTTCACTCTTGCATTGACACTTTTTCTGTCACTTATATTCAACTGAATCTCAGTCTGTTCTGTGTCGAAGTTGAACTGAATTATTTGACAAAAACAACACGACGAATCTTCACAAAGATCATGAACTTTCTTCCCTTGGAAGCATCTCATTGTAGTGACATAGAATCTCAACAATTCATTTCCATCTACTGTGCTTCTTGGATGCTTTGGATATTGTTTCTTCACTTCTTCTCTGTATTTCTCAAATCTTTCAAGAACATGTTCCGAATATCTGACCCTTAGAACTGTTCTCACCTTCCTCGAATGCTTCAATGTGTTCATTGATGCTTTCTGAAATATCATCTCGACAATTTTTCTCGATGGATCTCCAATCCCAAGCTCTGCCGAAGTCTAACAATGTAAAGATACATAGTAGTAAAAAAATTTAGATGCAAATAACATTTTACCGTAAAGTCGAGCCTGTGTCTTGTTTGGCTTGGAAACAAGTATCCTCGCTGGAGTTTTCATGAAGGGGAAGCTTTCTTCTTCTTCATCTTTGTTTATTTTCTCTTCCTTTTGTAGCACAAAGCTATTTCCTTTGCCAAATTTTGGTGGTAGCTTTATTACATCACTGAGTTTGTTTCCACATTTGACATTGTCCTTCAAGGAAAGCCATAAGGCTTGCATCTCTCTTTCTATACTTCTCTTCCTCTTGATTTTTGTGTGTTTGTTTGTGTGTGCCCATGTGGATTGAATTGGAATATATAAAGCACACAAAAGAGTGTCTTCTCGTGTGAAATTGTATGTTGTCTTAGTCCACTACCCTGCAAGATTTTCTAAGCTTTATTTAGATATATCATTTAGATTATTTAAAATCGGATGAAGTTGAAAGGCATAAAGTAGTATATATTTTATTTTATTTTATCACTTATTTTTTTTCACTTCCAATTTAAGTAGAATAATAAATTTATTTTGTTCCGTCACAATATTCAAATAACAAAATAGATTTTTAAAATTTACTCGGAAATAGTTGTTCTTTTGTCTTCTCTCTTTATGCTTCTTCTAAGTGACAAACTTAAAACCGAATATGATAGCAAGATGATGACATACTATGTTAGGATTTATATTGGGAATATTGAATGGTGCTCATGCGAATAGGTCTATATTTTTGGAAGTACTTAAATAATATCGTTATTGTCCTTATTAGTCAATGGCGTCCTTATCTGAGTAATTTGATGGTATTGAGGATCTATTTGTATCAATTTAAACTCTTCCATTGGTGTAAAGCTACCTTTCAAGAGATCAATCATAGGGTCTAAATCAAATAGTTTACATTGTGAGCGTAAAGGGATAGGGTCGCCTCCTCTCCTTTTAAGCCTTTGGCTATCCCGATAATTTTTTTGCCACTTTGTGATTGCCTTTAGCAACACCTATGCGCCCACTACTAAGGATAAGGTCTTTAACAACACTTGAAAATGATATATAATCACGCGGGATCAGACGTTGTTATGTAGCGTGTGGTTGTATATGTGTGTTTACCTTGGTATTTGGTAAACAACCGCTGATCCTCCAAATGGTTACTTATTTGGTTACTCGCAGGATCGATCAGATTGATCCTAGGACATAGGTTGATTTTGAAGTTTTGATTAAATTGGATATTGGTTAAATGACAATAAAATAAAGAGGCTTCAAGTAAATTGCATGAAGAAAGGACTTGGTAAAATAAATAAAGCTTTAAATGAAAGGGTTCGACAGGAAAGTAAAGAAGAAAGCAAATAAATTTCTGGGAAAGTAAATGACTTTGATTAATAAAGTTGGTGTTTCACACATACATTTCTCAACAATTCTTTCTCACACGCTGGGTACTCGAATCTATATGAGTGACTTTGTATAGAATTGTGAACACACGCGAGAAACTACATGACTACTACTATTTATACTAAAACATCCCAAGTAACCGTCGGGCAGTTACACTGCTTCGAGATGACTCCACTTGGCACGTTCTCAACGTTCGACGCTCCAGATCTTCACACGTTGCACTTGGTAACCGTTGTAAACCGTTTTCCCTCCAAACGCTTGAATTTCAAACTGCTCCACTCTGAACCATCGAACACCTTCGTCGAGAAGCATCTTCGACGAGAGACTCCTTCGACGTCGAAGGCAACCAACTTCTCCCTTGGAAGAAATCTTTTAAGTACCTTGCCATCTTTCGATGGGCATTTCGACGGACCTAGCTAGTCGAAAACATCCTTCAGCTTTAATGGCTGACATTAATAAAACAAGGGTGTCGAATTTAGGAGCCAACAAATTGCCCCCCAAGAATGCCTTATTTCGACTCTGAAAGAAAAAGGCATTCTTTGAAACGCCATTCGACACCTGTCTTTTCACGCTTAGTCACAAATTAACTTGTGCACTTTTTGTTGTCTTCTACCAACCACTGGAAATCCCAAGAAAACCATCATTTATCCGTACCTAAGACGTCACTTCAGTACGGCGTGCAGTGCCAAACGTCATTTCAGAATTTGTCATTATGACAATTCCCAAAAACGAGGACGCACGCTGCGTCCCTCTATTTCTGCAGAACGGCTAAAACAACAGGGGGATGCCACGTGTCCCACTATCTCCTGCAACATTAAATGGCATTTAATGTCCTCGGTTTTGGGGATTTTCCCCCACTACTATAAATAGCAGTAAGTACCCCATTGTGGGACTTTTTACGCCATCTAGCCTTCAGACTTCTCTATTTTCATACAAACTTGTCATCTTTACAAAACCCTTTCTTTCTTCACTTCGTCTTCAACCTCACCATTAACAATGGCATCTGGTTCCAATGCTCCTAGCGCTACCGTACCATCTGGAAACGTCAAACCTAAGGTTTTCGTCACCGCTCCAGTAGTAACTTCTACGGGCCAACGAAGGGTCCCTGAACCCTTGGACATCGCCGTACGTGATGCTTACTCACACCACCTTATGATCCCGGTTGGATATTCCAACCAGATCTTTGCTATGTCTGGCCCCTTGTATCCAAGTATTGCTGAGGCCATGAAGATCAAGAGTTATTTTCCGATAGTTGAGAAACTCAAACCGGTTGCATGCGCCAAGAAAGATGCAGAGGATAATGAAGAGCCTGCTAAAGAGAAAATCGACCTTCGTTTCTTCAACAAAGGTGTTAGGGCTTTCAGGTCTGGCCCTAGCCTTACTCCTGATTACGTTGCTTGGCTGGAAAAGATGGAGAAACGCCAAGCTTCGATCTGGAAAGATATGGGGATTTTCGACCTGGTGATGCTGTCGAAGACAGGTTTGAACTATTCTCCGGAGATGTTGATAGCTTCTCTACTTTTCTGGGACTACTCCCACTTTACTTTCCATCTTCCCTGTGGGATGCTGACTCCTACACTCTTCGATGTGGCCGCTATCACTGGCCTTCGACCCACCGGGGACTACTTCGATCCGGAGGAGATGTCGGAGGATCAAATTGGATTCTCTGCCACCAAACCAACCTATACCACCTTCATCAATCACTACCACGACAGGTCGACAGATGCTGTGTCGGATGTCGAACACATATCGTTTCTAGCCTTATGGCTGACTCGCTTTGTATTTTGCTCGAAGTCCTTACAGGTGACCAAGAAGATGGTCACTCTCGCCACTCAACTCCATCATGGCCAAAATATCTGTTTGGCAGAATTGATTTTGGCTAGCCTCTATGATTCGATTAGTAATGGGGCAACTCTTCTAAAAATTATCGAGAACAGGGCCAGCTTGCTACTTGCTGGGCCTTTTTGGCTGCTCCAACTGTGGCTCAATGCCACCTTCGAATCTTTCTTGCCTAAGAAAGTTCAAATAAATGAGCAGGCTCCAGAGATAGAGAACAGACGCGTCGAAGGAACCAGACTGGCTCTGTTGACGCCTATGGAAGATGGACTGGAGTTTCAGCAAACTTTCACCAACTTCGTTCTGATGTTTGCTCGAAGGAAAGAGTTTGTTTCGACTATGGCTCCGTTTGCTCGACGGAAGGTAGGCCCGGCATGGTTCACAAGGCCACATCCAAGGACGTCAAGTGGTCCTCAAGTTGACGAACATACAACAATGTGGGAAGCGTTCCTCACACCAAGGATCATGCCTCTTCGATTCAGGAGCTCTAAGACTCACTTGAGTCTGATTGCATACCAACCAAACCTGGTATCTCGCCAGTTTGGTATTATTCAAACCCTACCTTCTCCAATTTTTCCAAGAGAGAAGTCTATGTTGTACTTCTGCAATGATTACACCGAAGAAGCTGCCACTAAACATATCGGAAGATATGTTGGTCGAACAGTTCTCTCGTTGTTTGACTACCAGCTCAACTTTCTTTGCTCACCATCCTTCGAGGAGTGGTGGAAAAGTTATTACGCTGAGGAGTTTTTCGACGAGAAGGACTTCGTGGATGAGCTTCAGAAATCTTTTGTCCTTGTGTTGGACAAAATAAAGAAATGTAAGTTCATCCTTTCACATTACTTTGTCTTTCTCTTTCGACTGCTAGCCTGTTAACTATTTATTTGATTTCTGTTGTTCGAAAGCCTGCAGCCAAAAAGGCTGCAGAAAGCCAACAGGGAGGAGGCCCCTCAACAAAACCTCCACCGCCGGTGAAGACTACAGCGCCGGCGAAGACCACAACCAACCAACAGGGGGAAGGCCCTTCGAAGAAGCCTTCTGTATCGGTAACCAGACTTTCATTATTTTCTTCTGGCTTTCGATTTTTGACTTTCGATGCAATTGCTAAATCGAATTCCCATTGGTTTTTTAGGCACCTTCGCCCAAGAAACGGCCAGCACTGGTGGTCGAATCTGGGAGCGATGAAGAAGGTGATTCTCCCCCTGCTCCTCTAAAAAGGCGAAAGCTGACGAAGGACGCTCCTGCTCCTGCTCCTGAGGGTCGAATAATTAGAATAAAGGTTGCTGGGAGAAAGCCCAGGCCACCTCCAGTGATCATTGAGGAGCCAACGGAGGAGGAACTAAACGTTCTTCTCAATAAGCCTGTCGAAAGCGACAATTCCAGCCCTGGGGCTGAAGCTAATTTACAGGTAATCTCTTAGACCTTTTGTAACCTAGGTGTAGATACCTACATTCGACTATGTCTCTTTCGATTTCTGAAGATTCTTCCTCTTTCCTTTCTCAGGACACCACTGAAAGCTCACCGCCAAGGACCTCTGAAACACTGGAGTCTGCTGAACTCAGTAGGCCACAAGAAAAAGGCTTGGAAAATGACGAAGCCCATACTGAAATAAATGAGGCCAATGCTGAGACGGTAGAAAAACCAGCGGAAGAACAACAGCCAAAAGAGGTTCAGGTGGTGGATCTGTCAGAAGAGAATCGTGACGAAGGGGACCATGGCAATGCTGGCGAAGAGAACCAAGGTGACACTGGCGAAGGGAACCAAGGTGACACTGGCGAAGGGCACCAAGGTGACGCTGGTACTGCCCCAGTCCGAGTCGAAGGGAAACAAGTCGAGGCACCTAACACTCAACAGCCTCAAACCCAAGACAATGCTGCTGCAAGGGCTGTTACCTCAACGAAGCACAGGTCGAAAGAGGACTTAGAACTCTTGAAACAAACTGACCCTGTTAGCTATCTCAACGCAATCATCGAGAGCAAGAGTTCGTCTGATGCTAGTCAGGAGGTTCCTACCCTGTCGGGGAAGTCCACTGA